CTGTAGACCATGCTGCCGTACACATCACAAGCGTATCCTCCCCTGGTCTAATAATTAAACTAGTTCCATTGCCCGACAATTCTTTCTTCAGCGTTTCAAATTTTAATTATGTTATAATAATTATACCGCTCAATGACTCCCGTTTCTCACATGCACTTGACGGTACAGAAGTACTTAATAATGAAATGTAGAAGTCTCTTCGCCGTGCGTAATGAACTCGAAGGTTAAATGGCGCAGCTATCGGCCGCGGAAAGAACTGAAGTAGAAACATTTCTAGTCGGATGAATTTGGACGCTCCTGTAATGGCCCGTACATTCCCTAAAATTGCGGCTCGTTAACAAGCACAACTTTGTCCAGCACTGGTGGTTGAAACCACTACCGTCTTCCCCCGAACATAACACACCCTAAAAATGAATGTATACAAGCTATATTTCCGGCCAGATACAGCCGAAATAAGGGTGTGTTGTGTTCGGGGGAAGACAGTAGTGCTTTGGAGGAACTTTTCTCCGGGGTTGGAAATGAGCTGCGTGGCAGTGCGTGCCAAAAAAAGAAAAAAGGACCTCGGCACGGGTCTCCTTTTGGCTTGTGTCGCCAGCCATTTTCCCCCGGATGTCGAGCCCTGCCTGAATTTGCACAAGGATACAAGCCGCAATTTTTTAAAAATGGCTGGGAAACGTACAGATGGGGTTTCAATTTCGAACCCCTCTAACGTACAAGTGGTTTAAATTTCGAACCTTTTTTTTCTTTTTTTTTTCTCTTTTAAAAGGGTGACAGCCTCAAGATGTAATCATTGAGCTGGCCAACCGCAGGTAATTCAGAATTACGTTATTCTGTTCATCTGATTGCGTCTGGATTCGAACTTGGGTCTGTACTTCAGCAGAGTATCAAACCTTCGGACTTGACCTTTTTTTTTTTTTTTTTTTTTTAAAGACTTGACCTTTTTTTTCTTTTCTTTTTTCACAACTTGACTTGACCTTTTTTTTTTGTTTTTTGTTTTTTTTACAACTTGACTCGACCTTTTTTTCGCAACGTTTTGAAGCTTTAAAGCACACCAGCGTGGGCCCGGACCAGTAGCCCCCGACAGGGCGAAAAATTGAAAAGACGACCCCTCGTCGCCCCTTCCCCCCCCCGCAGCTTAAGCGCGGTCTCAAGCCAAAAAAACCGGCAAAAAGAACACGCAGCCAGCTCTCAAGCCCTCTCAGAACACACTTTTAAGTCCGGCTTGACAAAGAAATGAGAAGAAGACCCCTTTTCCATGGCACACCCCACTTCGACACGACGGCCTTCTACCCCCGAACACAAAGCACGTTGATAACGAATGTATACGGACTGATTTTCCGCTCAGGTACTCAGTCAAAATGCGGGTGTGTGCGTCGTGTTCAGGGGAAGACGGTGGCAAGTCGCTTTCATCCCACCGACCACCCACCGCCCACTTCCGTTGGTCTCCCATACACATGTTGCGGTTTCAAATCGACAGGGAAGGGGGGGGGGGGGGGGGGGGGGGGGGGGGGGGGGGGGGG